CCTGACAAATGGGAACAGATATGCTCCACTTGCGCCTCTGCAAGAAGCCTCTGACATCGAAGACGACGAGATAGAAATTGCAGATGAAGCTCCGCCAGCTCGTCCCGAACCTCATCCTGAAAAAAAAGGTCCCTAAGCGCAGGCCCATAACACTTCCTGGAGTTAACGACATCGTCGCAATGGAACAGACACTTGACCAGGCAGCTGGCCCAGATGCCTACGAATTTAAGGTCTCTCCCTCCGGCACGCTGAGAATATACGCGAAAGATTCCGACACTCATAGAGCCATTATTCGCAAACTCACTGAGGTCAGGGTCCAGTTCACGCACTTCTGTCTCAAAGAGGACAGACCATATCGCGTAGTCGTCAAAAACTTGGCCGCTTCTACTCCCAGAAGCTAAATCGAAAAGGTCTTTGCAATACACGGCCACGTTGTAAAAAATCTATACAACCCGGGGACCAGGCTACCTACAAGTGACGCTGGTGCTGACCCGCAAACGATTCGCCAAATCGCAACTACTGGTTCGTAGATCTTTAGCAGGCCCCAAACAACAGGAACGCGCTTCTAATTAGCAAGGTTGGTCGTCAAAGGGTCCAAGTTGAGCTTCCGAGAAAAAATAAAAGCATCAGGCAATGTTATTGAGTTCGCTATGAGTTCGACCACACAAAAAACTATTGCCTCAAAAAGCCCATATGTGGACGCTGCGGCCAACCCCACTGGGCGAACTCGGAGCAAGGTCAGGCCAAAACGGTGGCAGACCTGCGATGCTCAAACTGTGATGGGAACCATGCTGCTTATTACAAAGGATGCAAAGCATTCCAGCAGCGCTTGAATGCCCGACAACCCTCCCGGTCCGACACAACCAACAGCAACCTGCACGGCGCATCAACTCGCAGTTCGTACCCTCCCGAATTGTGCAACAAGTCCGCAACACGTACCAGCAAAATGCACAAGCGTGCCAACCCCCTGTGTGCAATCAGCCCACCGCTACAACAATGCAGCCCCAATACCTCTAGAATGGATCTAAGGGGCAAGACACGTCCCTCGGAAGTATCCTTCAAGGACTCCAGCAGTCGATCGCAGCACTTAATGCAGTCACAAGTATCCTGGTCAGCATCAAGGAGCTGAAGGACGCGCAAGCTCCACAGCCCGGTCTTTACACTCACCGCAAATGTGGAACGCTCGCAGCACCATACAAAATGCAAACGAGCTCAAACTGTTTTTGAGAAAACATGAAATATATAAAATAAGCATGATGTCTGCTTATCTCAGAAACCCACCTACACGCCAGCCTGTACTTCGCCATGGAGGGATATGTTTGCTACCGTGCGGATCACCCAGCAAATCGAGCCAGAGGAGGTGCTGCGGTGCTTGTCAAGCAGAACTTGGTGCACTACCAACTACCTCAGGCGACTTCCAGCGCATCACAAATGGCTGCTATTATGGTGGGAACTCCTTTGGGCGAAATACCTGTAGCTGCAGTGTACTTACCACCAAATCTATCCTGTAGCCGAGCTGGATTCGATTCTCTCCTCGATCAATTTGGTCATAAATTCACCGTTGGAGGTGATTTCAACGCCAAACTCCGGCTGTGGGGAAGCTACAGAGCTGACAACAGAGGCATTGCGCTACATGAAGCGCTCACCAGCTGCTCAGCCCAAGTCTTGGCCACCGGGAGACCTACCCACTTCCCGTATAACAGGCAAAGTACTCCTTCGTGCATTGACTTCTATATATACAAGGGTATTCCCAACAGCTTAATATCAGTTCGCGAAGAGTATGAGCTTTCATCCGACCATCTACCCTTACTTGCAACGGTATCTACGTCTGCTCAAAGGACTGTAAAAAAGCGAAGGCTTGTCACCCCCAGTCGAACATACAACGCTTCAAAGCTGAACTGAATGGCATGATTGATCTAAGCATGCCAATCTTGACAGCCGAGGATGCCGACGCTGTAGTTCAAACCCTGCTGTATCAAGTACATACCGCGGCTACCAACGCTGCCCCAGCACAAATGTATTTTACGCCTACAAGCCAACCTACGTGGACGCTTCCCCCCATTGTTGAAGGCCTTCTTTGTCTGAAAAAGCGACTGAGGAGGGAGTACTTCCGGACCCAGGACCCCAGAATCGATAGGATGTATCGCCGTATCGCCAACAGAGTCAGAAAGGAGTTGACCTTACTGAGAAGAAAAGCCACAGTCACCATGCTGGAGGAAGCAACGGCAGACGAGAGCTTCAAATTCGCACTGTGGAAGCTTACCAGTCGATACAAGCGGCAAGCTGCACCAAAGTTTCCCGTTCGACAACCCGATGGCACCTGGGCCAGGTCGCCAATGGAAAGAGTCGAAGCCTTCGCCTGTAACCTGGAGGAGCGTTTCAACCCGTTTGAGACCGCATCGCATAGAAGCATACAGCGAGTCGCGCAAATCCTGGAGGCGCCGCTCCAAACGGCACTCCCTTTATCACCAATCACCTTCCAAGAAGTAAAGCAGGAGATAAAGAGCCTAAAAAACAACAAAGCCCCTGGGAAAGATCGGTTGGACAACCAGATAATTAAGCTATTGCCATACAAGACAGTGCTTTTTCTCGTCGCCATTTTTAATGCAACTCTTCGGCTAGGTCATTTTCCAGTAGCCTGGAAGAAGGCGCATATCATTATGTTGCACAAGAGCGGAAAGCCACCTAATCAACAGGACTCTTATCGCCCCATCAGCCTCCTGCCTACCTTTGGCAAGATACTGAAAAGGTGCATCCTTAGAAGGATCCTGGATACCCCGGAAATAAAACACTTAATCCCGAAGTTCCAGTTTGGGTTTAGACTGAAACACGGTACCCCTGAGCAACTCCATCGTATCACAAATTTTATTTTGGACGGCTTTCACAGGAAGGAGTATGTGGTGGCAGCATACCTCGACATCCAAGAAGCTTTTGACCTGGTGTGGCACGCAGGACTCCTCTCCAAGATTAAGGGCAAATTGAATCCGCAGCTCTTTAACATCATTGCGAGCTTGTTGAACGAGAGGACATTTAGAGTGGTACAGGATGGCATAGTCTCTCATACCAAACGCATAAGAGCCGGATAATAATCGGAGTGATGCTACAGGTGGAAGATAGCTAACTGAAACCAATAGCCTATTTTAATCGAGAAACTTCTAAGAGCGAAACGCACTTTCATAGCTATGAACTTGAAACATTATCCTTGGTCGAATCTTTTGAGCGTTTCAATTAGCATAATTTGTAAGCATATCAGACAAAATACTGTTTGTTTCGCATTATGAACTTCAATGGAAGCTAATACCGCGAATTGCACGATATTAGTTGCGTTTTCAAGAGTTCGATATCGATGTAATTCACCGATCAGTCTCTAGGATGGGACATGTCAATGCCTTAAGCTCTGCTCCACATGAGGATGCAAGCCAATCATCGATGAAGCGTATTGGTTATTTGCTATACAACTTGAAAATGAAAACATCCAAAACATTGTAAGCAATATGAAATCTGCCAAAGAACCAAAAATGATGAGTATGTCATTAATATCAGATCCTTTAAGAATGTCATGATAAATCAGCATCAAGAAATAAATGAGCCGTATTAGTATTTTTTGTATTTCACGTCAATATCATTACCATTTTCAACGATTCATATCGACCACTTGGGATCCTTCCCAAATAGTTCGAAACGCAACGAGCACATACGTGTTTACGTGTTACCAAATTAACGATTATGCACGTTAAAAGCACAGGAAGCAAGTACGTCATCGATATCCTTAAAGAAGTAAGCAGCTATCTGGGGGTGCCAGAAAGAACTGTCTCCGATCGGGGAACAGCTTTCACCTCAAAAGATTTTATAAGTTTTGTAAAGAAAATAATATTAAACACGTCCTTAATGCTGTACTAACCCCCAGAGACAACGGACATGTAGAATACGCTAGCGGAATCATAAATCGTTTATGTTTCTGCCTGTGTTTGACAATGAGAAACGTTGGGATGAAGAGCCTTAAGCCTGACGCTTTGAATGTCAGGAAAGCCAAATGTAAACGTCTGGCAACCTCGATCCATGGCCATTCACAGCGAATCGATAATTATGCGAAGAAAAATCGAGTTAAGCATCTCTAGACTGTGAGACTAGGCAGCAAGCCAAGTGGTCGGACGATACTTAAGAATTTAAGTTTGTAATTCCATCTTTGTAAAGTTAACCACATTAAACTATTACTCAGCCAACCAGACGATTCTTACACTAGCTCTTTCGGTTTATGCTGTGCGGTGATCACCAACCATTCATATTTCCTGACATAATATCATAAGTTTAGAAGCTGACTAGATATTAATGGTTCAAGCCATGTGTTTACCAAGTTCTTTATCGAACTCAAATATCCTCAACATCGCAAAATAAATAGCTTAGTTAACAAGTATATTAACTGGCTTGAGAGAGTGTTAAGATAATGGCTACTTTTAATCAGTGTGGCTCTCTTCGAGGTACTTAAGTATTACTTAACCGAAATGTTCCTTTTTTGGGGGATACGCCCACTTGGGAAAAGTAAAAGAATTAGTGTCGTGATTGCATGGTCTCATATGCAACCACTTTGACTCAACCACTATATCAATAAGCAAATTGCTTAGTTGGCTGGCTCGAGGCCCGGGTTTGTTTTAATAAAACAATGAAAACAGATTTATTAATTCTTGCTTCGAATATATTTCGTCTTGCTTCGGCAACCGTCTTCAGGGCAATTGTTTTACACGTCTGCGCGTTTTGACGTGGAGGTTGAAACTGAAGATGGTTGCCGAAGAGCATCCGAAATATATTGGAAGCAAGAACCAATAAAATTGTTTTCATTGTATTATTAAAACAAACCCGGACCTCGAGCCAGCCAACTAAACAATTATACAGTGGCATGGTCGCCAAAAAAAATATTAAATAACCAAAAATATATATATAACAAATCCACCAACTGTTCACATCGAAACTAATTAAATGTATTTCACTTACTTTTCCCATAGATGAGTTGGAGAACAAACCTGAAATCAGTAAACAGCGTACTGATATAATGAATAAAGTTAAACAGGCCTTACAGTCTATTCGCATTCATGGTAAAGGGTATATGGTCTATTCCTACTTATGGATTTGGGATAAAAACAATTATTTAAGCGAAGTTAAGAAATATGGTCGCAACTTGACATTAGCCGAACGTGACGCGGAATTGGAGCAGGAAGGAAGCTCTGGAATTAAGCCGATAGGAACTGGAGAGTACCCACCATTTTCAGTTTATAAAGAGCAACTGGATAAGTTTATAGATTTACAGGACCAAGTTCATCAGTGGGAAACATACGATATATTTTTTGGATTTCTGCGACTTAATATGGATGGCTTTAAGAGATCAGTTCTCAATCAAATTGGTCAGTGGATCAGTTTGTTTAAAATGGACCTCATTAATTTTGTACGAAACTCACTTCAGGTAAGGTTTATGGTACTCTAAATCAAAATATTTGTGGTAGTGGTAGGTGTATTGATTGATATTGGTGGTGTTGTGTGAACAAATATTTCTTAAGAGGGATCAGAAACTGGGGCATTTTCGGAACTTGGGCATCTCTGGTTGCATAAAGTGGAAAGTGGGCATCTCTGGTTACTCACCAGGAAAACATGCAGAGACGGTCTAGGCATGTATATCGACGCTCGGATATCTATACCACACAGGGTCATGACAAGACTGCATTACGTGGTTTTTGCAAAAAGCGTGAGACCCGTCTTAAAGTTTTAGTGGGATTGATGCTTTTGCCAGCTTCTAATAGTGATAGTTTTCGCAGTCTTCTAATAACCGTTATGGGGGATTGTCGCCACCGAAAGTCAGGGTTGGATTATAAAATTTTGCGTTTTCCGTATGTTAAAAGAAAGAAGATTGGCAGATTGTTTTCCCCTCGGTGAGCAAATAAGGCTGGCTCAAGTCACAAAGCATACAATATGTGTGCCCTTTAAAACGACCTAGAAGTTGTTGCATATTTTCTGTTGAGACATTTTATTATGGCCGATTCCTAAGAGAAGCAGAGAGCTCCAGGCTTTTCTTGTATGTATTTTTTAACTAATTACAGCCCAGAATGCTTCTCGCTCTCACAAATTTTTTGTGCGCTTTATATGCATCTGGATATCACTGCATAACTCTGAAAAAACCCGCGGCACATGCAGTCCTGCATTATGAGAATAATAATTATTTTTATTTAAGAAGAAAATAATTGTATTCTATTATACATTTTTATTATTTTGCGTGTGCACCTATTTCGCTAAAAAATGTGCATAGTAATGAAATAAATAAATTCTTAATAAAGGCGAAGTGTTGTAGCTTTTTGAAAAAACATCATGTCAAAAAGTATATATAAAAATTTTAGGCATCTAAAATTTCTAATATTTTCCTTAAATAACTAAAATGTATAATAAATCAAATTATAAGTAGAGATCATTACGTTTATACATACATGTTTATATATATAGTGACATATGTACCACACCCAAAACATATACTATAAGCACACATACACTTTGTATCCTAATACAGCATATATAACATATGTCCACAGCACCTAATGCCAAACCCTTACACATAAGCCTTAGCAACTAAGCGCACCATATATGTAACATGAGACACACGAATTTGTAACAATAAACGCTAGAACCCCTAATCATAAATTCTTGGTGAAAATAACAATTTTGGCGTGGGACCGATCATTAAAATCGAAAACCATAGAAATAAACATCCGTCACAATCGTTATTCTCACCGAATGCCCAAATTTCCAACGCAGCTCAAATTCGAGCTATTAAAATATTCTAGAAACTCATTAAGAAAATGAGAGCATTGTTTAAAGAGAGCGAGCTCATGACCTTGAGCCCTCAACCGAGGTTTGCTAAGCGTTGAGAAGACTTTAGAAATTGAGTTTTGCTAAAGACGTCAAGTTAATCGTGGACAATTAGTCAATTTGTCGCGTCTTTTGAAATAAAGTTGTATTTTTCTTTAACAACGCATAGTGACTTATTTATATAAGGAGTGATTTTGTTATATTATAAAAGTGATATTGGATGGGGAGTTCTATTGTATTACTGCTAATAATTTATATTTATATTTCAGGAACTGCAAGATTTTATAGACGAAGCCAAGGTTGTGCTAAAAATGGAATTAAAAAGAGATGATTTTGATGGCTTAGTTAAGATACTCTCTGTATTAAACCAAATAAATGAAAAGCAATTTGTCTTCGACAATATGTTTGAACCCCTTAGAGATATCGTAAACTTGCTCAGAAAGTATGGATACGAGTTCAAGGACACAGAGCTTTTACAACTTAACGAATTGCCTGATGCTTGGCTAAAAATAAAGCGTCAAGCCGCCATGACAAAACAGCTTATTGCACCCATACAAAGCTACCAGGTGGACCAAATAGAAAAACGTATATTGCTATGCAACAACATGGCAAGCACATATCGAAAAAAATTTATGCGAAAGAAATTTTTAAATGTTCCCTGTCCCAATTGCTATGAGCTTATTGACGAAACGGATTTAGAAATTGTTGAATTAGAAGAACGGCAACAAACTCTTACGGAGTCTGCAGTTCTTTTTGAGTTACAAGGCCCTGATCCTACGAAGATTGAACTTTGTCGGAACGATCTGAAGCTTGTTAAAATAATGTGGGACTTTGCTATTTCAATCGAATCTACTATAAATGACTGGAAAAAAACACCATGGAAAAAGATAGATATTGAAGCAATGGATCAAGAGTGTAAGAAGTTTGGAAGAGAGTTGCGAGGCTTAGACCCAGCAATGCGTAGCTGGGAACCATTTATATTCATGGAGGCGTCATTAAAAAATCTGATGACTTCTCTGCGTGCAGTCACCGAACTTCAAAACCCTGCAATACGGGACCGCCATTGGGTTGAGCTGATGCAGACCACTAAGGTAAAATTCAGCATGGATGATTCAACGACTTTAAAGTATCTTATTGATCTTAATTTGCATGAATACGAGGAAGAAGTTAAAAATATTGTTGATAAATCGGTTAAAGAAATGAACATGGAAAAGCAGCTACGCGATATAGCAGCAGCCTGGGCTGGCATGGAATTTGGTATTGAAGTACACGAACGCACTGGTATTAAATTATTGAAAGCATCTGAAGAAATGATTGAGACTCTAGAAGACCATCAAGCTCAGTTACAAAATATGACCTCATCGAAATATGTAACTTTTTTTCTGCAAGAAGTCTCATCCTGGCAACAGAAGCTATCAAATGCAGATCAAATCATTGGCTCTTGGTTTGAAGTTCAGCGAAAATGGCAGTATCTGGAAAGCATTTTTATAGGCTCTGAGGACATACGTTCACAACTGCCTGAAGATTCTAAGCGATTTGATTTTATTGATAGAGAGTTTCGAGCTCTATTGGCTCAAATGAACTCTGATCGTAATGTCGTTCGATCGACTAATCGTTCTGGTAGCAAACTATACGACCATTTGGAAACATTGCTTAAAATGCTGCTATTATGTGAAAAAGCACTTAACGACTATTTGGAGACAAAGCGACTGTCTTACCCTCGGTTTTATTTTGTTTCATCGGCAGATTTGTTAGATATTTTATCAAATGGGAATAATCCTGCAATGGTATCGCGTCATTTGACTAAGTTATACGATTCTATTGGAAAACTTAATCTCATAGCTGGTACAAGACAGGCAGGAGGAATGGTAGCTAAGGAGCTAGAGGAATATGTTCCTTTTTTGCAAAATTGTGATTGCAGTGGTAAAGTAGAGGTTTGGCTAAATCGAGTGACCGATAAAATGCGGGAAACGCTTCGAGATCAGCTGAGACGTTCTTTAACTCAATATGATCATAAGCCACGTCATGTTTGGATATTTGAATGGCCAGCTCAGCCAGCCTTGGTCGGCACGCAAATCATGTGGACAGCTGAAACAAATGATGCATTTGCTAAAGTACAGCTTCGGTATGAAAATGCTCTTAAGGATTATAATAGGAAACAAGTTAATCAACTGAATAACCTAATTATACTTTTGCTGGGAGATCTTACAGCGGCAGAGCGGCAGAAGGTCATGACCGTCTGTACCATCGATGTCCATAGTAGAGACGTTGTGTCTACTATCATATCAAAAAAAATAGAGGTACAGACGGCGTTTCAATGGCAAAGTCAGTTGCGCCATCGTTGGGACAGCAAAATTGACGATTGCTTTGCTAACATTTGCGATGCTCAGTTCCGTTACGACTATGAGTATCTTGGTAACACTCCACGTCTTGTAATTACTCCGCTAACAGATCGCTGCTACATTACATTAACTCAGTCTCTACATCTTGTAATGGGTGGTGCTCCAGCAGGGCCCGCTGGTACTGGAAAAACCGAAACAACCAAGGACTTAGGGCGTGCTTTAGGGATGATGGTGTACGTATTCAATTGCTCTGAGCAAATGGACTATAAATCAATAGGCAACATACATAAGGGTCTTGCGCAAACTGGAGCTTGGGGTTGCTTTGATGAATTTAATAGAATATCAGTTGAAGTGTTATCCGTTGTAGCTGTTCAGGTGAAGTGTATGCAGGACGCTATAAAAGCTAAAAAAACAACCTTCAGCTTCTTAGGCGAGTATATCGCCTTGAGAGCTACTGTTGGTGTGTTTATAACTATGAATCCAGGATACGCTGGTCGTGCAGAGCTACCAGAAAATTTAAAAGCCCTTTATCGTCCTTGTGCTATGGTAGTCCCCGACTTTGCTCTTATAAGTGAAATTATGTTGGTGGCCGAGGGATTTCAGGAGGCACGCTTGTTGGCAAGAAAATTTATCACACTTTATACACTATGCAGGGAGCTTCTCTCTAAGCAAGATCATTATGATTGGGGATTGCGTGCAATAAAATCCGTACTTGTTGTTGCTGGCGCTTTGAGGGTAAGTTCTACATGTATTAAGCATGAGAAAATATAACAGTAATTAAAGCTTTATCCATTTTCCATCGTGCCTACAACTATAATAATTATTTTTTAGCAGAGCTCGCTATTAGCAGCTGTATTTAAATACCAAAATGTTTTAGAAAAGTTCACACCCTATTTATGTGCACATCCCTTCGCTAAAAGCCGTGCCTTGTATCGCTCTGTTTGAACATCCGCTCCTCGTTTTTAGGTTGAAAACCTATTTACAGCCAATTGCGCGATGATCTTTTGGCAGTTCCTCAATGTGTCACGTTTTATTCAATATCAGAGTCACGACACATTGTAGCTTCGAAACAGTTGATGACCTCCTAGTAGGATGTAGGGACTGGTATTTCGCGCCCTTCCACAGCTCCAGGAATATTATACTGCTTCTTGGGTCGTCCACGCCTTCCACTGCGAACAAACTTAACCTTAACAATAACACTGACGAAATTGTCGATACTGCTGTCATTTTTATGCCGACGTTGACTTTGTGATCTGACCCATGGTCATTATTTAAGCCAGTGCTCGAATTATTTAATTATTTTTATACCCTGAACCCATTAAAAATGGCTATAAGGGTATACTGTGTTTATGCAAAATCCAAATGTATGTAACAGGCAGAAGGAAGCATCTCCGACCCCATAAAGTATATATATTCTTGATCAGCACCAATAGCCGAGTCGATCTAGCCTTGTCAGTCTGTCTGTCCGTCCGTATGTATGAACGCGAGGATCTCTGAACCTATAAGAGCTAGAGACATAAAATTTTAGATGCACATGGACAGGATAGATAGGGACGTAAATTTCTGGTTAGTCTAGCCGAAACAGAGAATTGAAGACGCCCTTACAGAAAAGGAGAACATATATTGTCAACAATCAACTTACGTAGTAAGACAACACCAAGAATCGTCCTACGGTTGGTTATCGCCGGAAGTTTAAGAATCATCCTGTTGGATCTGCTAGTTCTAAACAGATTCAATACGATCCTGGCTATTGTTATACTGCGGAGCAGAGCAGAGCAGTATTCAAGATATGTACAGAGGTTTCGTTATAAATGGATCGTTAAACTCTTTAGACCAGTCAGGCTCTCAAAATTTAAGTAGCCATAGCGTTTATGCCAAATTTCTCCGTCCACACTTTCCGCTGCAAAACAATTTTTGGTTTTATCTTCAAAAGTGTATAAAAATCTCACCTTCTAGACCATCAAGAGAGAGTTCTCAGTTAAGAGGGATTGACGTGTTTTACCATGATTTTTATATATTTTTGCGCTTTAATCCTGCTTTTTATTTATACATTTTGCATTTTTTGGTGCTCTGTTTAAAAAACTTTTATAAATTGAGCAAAGTGTTATCTGTTGTGCAGCGTAAGTCTGTTAATTATTGCATTTATAAAAAGCGGCGTCAGTTCCGTGTTGTTGTTATTGCCTGTTTTGATTCTTTTACTTTGGTGCTCCCCTGTGCATACACTTGTTTGTGCGTGTGTTCGATGCTGCATATTTCTTCTTGTGCATCGAACCCTCCCAAATCTTTGCTATTGATTTTCGCTCCAAACAATTTATTTGTGTACGAATAATTGCTTTTTGAGTGCTTACTTGCTCTATTTTTGTGCACCGTTCTCGTTTTGCTCTGCGCTGTCGCAACTTGCATATGCAAATAATAATCATGTCGTTCTGTAAGAAACCGTGCACATTCCAGCAGGTTAATGATTCCGCACTGCCGCAACTTATTAATTGCTGGCTGTGTGAGAATATGATGCATGCTAAATGTGAAGGTCTCGCTGGGCGTGCTTGCGAAAAGATCGCTGCAATTGCCAAGAAGGGCTGCGGTGAGTGGTTGGTCGTGCCCATAATGCATCGACAAGCAAATTGATTTCTCCAAAATGTATAATTCTGTGAGAAATCAATTCTTAAAATTGAATAATGTGGCTAAGCAGCTCTCGAGCAATTTTGACTTGAGTTTTGAGTTCCTTGGCAATACAAATTCGAGTCTCCAACCAATCGCCGGTTGGAGCCTCAACTTTTGCAATTGCCCTCAACCTACGCCTTTCTTGTCCCTTCCTAGAAACTTGGATTTATCTCCAATGTTGCCTTCTCCAAGCGACTGTCCAATTACCCCTATTTCAACCCCTGTAGTAGTTCCCAGTAAAGCCTGTACCTGATCCCCTCCCAGTTATCCAAACTGCCACAGCCCCTGGCCGCAAAGGTAGACCTGCGCGCAAGTTTGTCTAGATTGTTAAAAACAATCATGGTGCCAATTTAGCTCCTCCAACTCCTGTATTACCTACAGCCCCATCAGCGCCTACTTTAACGGTTGTTTTCCCTCGTAGGCAAGTTTTTGTGTTTCGACTTTCGTCGGACACCACTTCTGAGTCATTGGCAGCCTATATTGCTAGCAAATCCTCTGCTAGCGTGTCAATAACCAAATTTAATTTTTCCACCCGTCGTGAAATATCATTATTTAAAATATAAGTTTCACATGATATGTTCCCAATCATTTGTGATCCCAAATTTTGGTCTTCACACATGATTGTTCACGAGTTCAAGCCTAACAAGTAAGAGGTTCTAGTCGGGAGCTCCCGACTAGGGGATACCCTGAACCCTCCTTTTCCAACATCAAGTGCATATATATATTCTATTTTAGAAGCTATATGTCAGGATTGGTGACTCTAGCTATTATTATTTACCAAAATTGCCCAAAAAACAGGATATCGATATCGATTTTTATCGATTGGACGGACGGACAGACAGACAGACGGACATGGCTAGATCGACTCGGCTATTGGTGCTAATCAAGAGTATATACTTTATGTGCACGCAGCACATGTGTGATGTATAGCTGCCATAGGAACGATCGGTCGAAATTTAAGTTTTTGTATGAAAAAACATTTTATTTTTCAAGATATCTTGCCCAAACTCGGCATTAACTATTTTCCCTGTGCTTCTTAGATACGAGCAAAGCACTATTAGCATTATGAAAAGGTTGGGTCTGCAAGGGTATTAGATCTTCGGCGTGCCGAAGATAGCCTTTCTTTCTCGTTAAGTTTAAAGAGTCTGGTTCGTGTACAGACTTGGCTTTGTATTTCATAGCCAAGTCGAACTTCTTTCTTCTGAATTTCAAAGCTATGGGAATTATGTAATTCGTTGTAAAAGGCAATTTTCCCAAAATCCGAGACAGTTTTATAATATTGTAAACTTGAAGCGCAAATCTTCAAGTTTGCCATCTTCTTTTTCTCCTGGGATTGATAAAGCTAGCCATGACACTGATTCTGCTAACCTCTTTGCAAATTTTTTCCAATCAGCTTAATCTTCAGTCTGTCCTAATACTTATTGTTACGCTTATAGTATTTCTTCCGCTAGTTCTATACATCCTGCAATTATTTAACACTCCCCTCTCCGATTATCTATAAACTTTATAAAATCTTATAACTCTGCTGGGCCGGACAATATTCCTAGTTGTCTACTCAAGGAGTGTAGTTCTTTCCTTCTGTATCCATTGCTAAAGCTCTTTAATCAATCCCTTGAATCTTCTGTCTTTTCGTCTCTATGGAAAGAATCTTATATCATTCCTTTCCACAAGAATGGTGGAAAGTCTGATATACAAAATTATAGGGGCATTGCAAAACTGTCCGCTATTCCTAAATTATTTGAAAAATAATTACTTCGAATTCGCAGCATTTCTGCAAATCAGTTGTTTCCCCTGTTCAACATGGATTCGTAAAGAATCGGTCAACTACGACCAATCTGCTTGAGCTTACTTCCTTGCTAATTGATGCTTTCCGTTCGAAAATGCAAACTAATGTCATTTACACTTCAGTAAGGCGTTTGACTCTGCGCATCATAACATTTTACTCTTTAAACTTGACCGAATAGGTTTTCCCGTCTCTTTTGCTTTAGATTAATTCTTATTTAAAAGGTAGGACCCAAAGATTAATGCTGAGGTTGACTACTTCTAAACAGATTCACGTTACTTCTGGTGTTCCTCAAGGTAGTCATCTTGGACCCTTACTATTTACTCTTTTTATAAATGATCTCCCCTATGTTATATCACATGCCTGTGTGTACTCATGTATGCGGACGATGTGAAACTTATTCTATCACTAATCCCCTACATCATTCTTGTGTACAAGACGATTTGAACGCTATGCAACTTTGGTGTTTGGCCAATCAATTGCATCTGAATTGTTCAAAGTGTATGTTTATGACATTTAATCATACTACACCTTATCTTGTCAGTTATAAAAGCAACAATATCCCTTTGCAATCAACAATATCCCTATACTAACCGTTAAGGATCTAGGCGTTCTTTTTGATTCTAAACTCTATTTCAATCTTCACATAGATACCATCGTTAATGAGGCAGAAGGTGTACTTGGATTCATTAAACGATGGTCTAGAGAGCTTAAAGATTATTTTATAACGAAACTTCTGTACATCTCTCTTGTTCGCCCTATCCTTGAATACTGCTCTTGCATCTGGTTTCCGCAGTATAACAATAGCCAGGATCGTATTGAATCTGTTCAGAAGCAATTTTTGCTTTTAGCCTTACTCCAGCAGGCTGATTCTTCTTAACCTTCCGTCTTTAACCAGCCGTAGGATGACTCTCGATGTTGTCCTTCTACATAAATTGATTATTGGCGACAGATTCTCCTTTTCTGCTAGGGCATCTTCAATTCTCTGTTCCGGCTAGACCAACTAGAAATTATCGCCCCTTATTCCTATCTACGTGCACAACAGACAACGCTATGCACAATCCTTTTCTCGCGTGCTTTTTAAAAATTATAAAAGTTTGCATCACGTTTTCTCTATATCTAGATTACATTTCTACTTTATTAACAATCTTCTTACTTTCTTTTTTCCTATTTATGCTATTTTTTAATAATTATAGCAAATTAAGATTATTTTTAAATTTACTTAAGTGCACTTTTTTCCTATGCACACCGCTTAGATGTAGGCTCTAAGAGCGTCACTGATAAAATTAGG